TTCCTATTTTCTATTTCTGCTCTAACCTTTATTCTGGTGCCTGAGAGCTTCTTTTGCATCTCTATTTGTGAGGCTAATGTTTTGATTTTGCCCCCTTCTTCTTTTTAGATGTGCGTATATACTGCTATAAATTGACCTCTCAGCACTGCTTTTGCTGTGTTCCAAATGTTCTGGTAGAATGTGTTTTCATTCTCATTTGATTCTATGAATTTCCTTATTCTGTGCTTGATTTCTTCTATAACACAGTAGTTTTTGAGCAAGGTGTTGTTTGGTTTCCTTGTGTTTGATTTTTTTTCTTTGCTTTTTCTGATATTGATTTCTACTTTTATGGCTTTATGGTCAGAAAAAGATGCTTTGTAATATTTCAACGTTTTGAATTTTGTTAAGACTTGCTTTGTGGCCTAATATGTGGTCTACTCTGGAGAATGTTCCATGTGCATTGGAAAAGAAAGTATACTTGGCTGCAGTTGGGGCAAGTGTTCTGTATATGTCTATGAGATCAAGTCGGTTGATTGTGACATTTAAATCTTCCATGTCTTTACTGAGCTTCTTTCCTGATGCTCTGTCCTTCACCAAAAATGGTGTGGTGAAGTCTCCTATTATTGTGGAGCTTTCTCTCACTCAATGCTTTCTGTTTTATGTATTTTGGAACCCTTTCATTGGGTGTGTAAATATTTGGGTTATGTCCTCCCAGTGTATTGACACTTTAGTCATTATACAGTGTCCTTCCTTATCCTTTGTGGTGGATTTTAAAGTTTATTTTGTCAGAGATTAATATTGCCACTCCTCTTTTTTGATTCTTTGCTTGATATATTTTTTTCCATCTTTGAGTTTTAGTTTGTGTCTTTATGTCTAAGGTGTGTCTCTTGTAGGCAGCATATAGACGGATCATGTTTTTTTAATCCATTCTGCAACTCTCTGTATCTTTATTGGTGCATTTAGTCCATTTACATTCAGCATAATTACTGATAAGTATGAGTTTAGTGCTGTCATTTTGATGTCTTTTTTTGTGTTCTTGACAGTATCTTTGTTCCACTTAATTTTCTGTGCCGAGTCATTTTTCTGTATGTATTTTCATTTTCACTGTTGTTTTGTATTTGCTGTTTTTTTCTTTGATGTGTACATGTTAGTTTCCTTTGTTGTTACCTTAAAATTTACCTCTATTTTTCTTGATATTGTCTTAACGTCCTCTCCATACAAAAGTTCTATAACTACACTGTTTAGTCCCTCTTTTTTTAAATGTCAGTTTTTACATATTGAAGTCTGTTCCCTTATTTTCAGTGTTTTAAAAAGTTTTCACTTATTTTTGTGATTTCCCTATCTGGGTTGATATCTGGTTTTTCTGTCCTGTATTCTAGTCTTGGGCTGTTATCTGATATTATTCTCTAGCCAAAGGACTCCCATTTAGTATTTCTTGAAATTTTCGATTGGTTTTCACAAATTCCCTTAACTTTTATCTGGAAATGCTCTAGTTTCATCATATTTGAGAGACAGTTTTGCTGGATATGTAATTCTTGGCTGACAATTTTACTTCAAGACATTATGTCATCTCATTGCCTTCTTGCCTGCATGGTTTCTGCTAAGCAGTTAGAGCTTAGTCTTATTGAGTCTCCTTTGTACATGACTTCTGGTGTATCCCTAGCTGCTCTTAAAATTATTTTCGGTTTTGGCAAGTTTGACTATTTCTTGGTGTCTTTCTTTTGGGATCTACCCTGTGTGAGGTTCAATGAGCTTCTTAGATATCTTCTCGTCTTTCATGATATCACGGAAGTTTTCTGCCAACAGATCTTCAACAATTCTCTCTGTATGTCCTGTTATCCTCCTGTTCTGGTATTCTAGTCACTCAAAGATCATTTCTCTTAATACAGTCCCACATAATTCTTAGTTTCTTCATTTTTAAAAAAAAAATTATCTGATTTTTCCTCAGATAAATTTTTTCCTCAGATAAATTGGTGTCAAATGTTTTATCTGCAGTTTAATTCTGACTTCCATTGCCACAATTCTGCTTGTATGAATTTCTATTGAGTCGTCTAATTCTGAAATTTTATTAATCTTCTGAACTTGATTGCTTTCTTTAGAGTGATTCTAGCAGCCTGTTAAATTTGTCATTTTGCTTTTGTATACTTCTCCTAAATTTCTCTATCACTTTGTCTCTGTGTTCCTTGGCTTGGTCTAAGTTTTGCAAAATCTTCCTAATCTCTTGAAGAGCTCTGTATATTAATCTTTTGAATTCTACCTCCAGTAATTCCAAGACATTCTCTTCTTCCAGTTTTCCTCATTTTTTGCTTTGGTCTCTTGCTGGAGGCATCATAGTCTGCCTATTTACATAATCGGATATTGAGTGTTGTCGCCATCAATTACTACATTTATTGTATGTCTACTATGACCAAGCTTGTTTCGATATGCCCAAATAGGCTGGGCGTGTGAGCTTTATTGTCATCTTTGAAGCTCTCATGTCAACAGGTGGTTAAAGCTGCTACTAGGTATGTGAGCACAGGAATCTGTTTTCTTGTGTGGACACAGCTCAGGTGTACAGGTTGTTGCCCGTGTGGTACAGGGTCACACCTACAGTCCTAGATGGGCAGGGCTACATAAGGGTGATTGGAGCAGGCACAGATACATGGCTGCAGTAGGGGGTTACATGCTGAGCAAGGTGTGGGGCTGATGGCTACCCAAGGGCCTAGGTGGGAGGTGTGTCCCTGTACCCTAGTGTGTGGGTGGGTGGGATTTTCAGCTGGACTTCAGGCACTCAATGGTGTTGGCTGTAAGGACTGGGAAGCACCACTTGTTCTCAGACCCGTCGTGGGTGGCTAGTTGGGTGGGTGGAGTCCTAAGGCCCCTGATGTGGGTGAGGACCCAGCGTAAAGGGCATGGCAGTGTCAAATGTCACAAACCTGCCACTCTCCCTTAGCTGTTGCAGTTGAAAACACGCTTCAAATATATTAACCTGTTGTACTATGCTAAAAAGGGCTTACATTGTTGAATGGGCCAACACAGGTCTATGTAGGGGTGAAAGGCAAAGTCCATGGGCCCCTTATGCCTATGCCTAGGCAAAGGGGCAGTGCCTGCCCTGAGTTCCCAGCTTAGGGGAGCTGGTGATTTCCTTTTTGCTGTTTATTTTTTCCCTTCCAAAAGCCCAGAGACTGACTCAGGCATAAAGGGTCCCACTTGCAGCCTAGCACGCGCAACCACTGAACACTGCCAGACTGGGACTGGAGAATGGGGAGGGGACATGTGAGGGTAACAGAGGCATTTCCCAAAGGAAGAGGGATTATTTTGAGCCCACGTGGTAGGTTAGAGGCTTGCACTTAATTTCACATATCCAGCACTGTTTCACCCTGGCTCTGGTGGCTTGTGAAGACTGCCACTCAGTTTCTCCCATCGTGGAAAATGTGTCCCGAGTGGTACTGCTTGCCTCAGCCCAACTGCACCAAACGATCCATCCTCTAGAGTGCTTGCCCGGTCAAGCCTGGCACTTCCTCACTACTTCTGAATTGTCACTCCCTTCCCCTACTGCTCAGTCTGTCTCAATTTTTTTTTGATGTCCAGAGTTCCTAGATTGTCATATACAATTGATTCAGTAGTGTTTTCAGGTCTTTGTTGTAATAAGGACCACAGGAAGCATCTGACTATTCTGCCATCTTTACCCCACCTCCTGAAGAAACCATTTAGTAGCAATACTGTGACCTGTTGTTGTTAGGTACCGTTGAGTCTGTTCTGACTCATAGTGACCCTATATACAAGAGAATGAAACACCGCCTGGTCCTACACCATCTTCATGATCATTGTTATGTTTGATCCTATTGCAGCCACTGTGTCAATCCATCTGAGTCTTCCTCTTTTTTGCTGACCTACTTTACCAAGCATGATGTCCCTCTCCAGGGACTAATCCCTCCTGATAACATACCCAAACTATAAGAAATAGTCTCATCCTTCTAAGGAGCACTCTGGCTGTACTTCTTCCAGGACAGGATTTGTTCATTCTGTTGGGAGTCTATTCAATGTTCTTCACCACCAGCACAATTCAAAGGTGTCAATTCTCCAGTCTTCCTTATTCTTTGTCCAGTTTTCACATGCGAGGCAACTGAAGGCACCATCGCTTGGATAAGGCATATCAGTCTTCAAACTGACATCTCTGCTTTTTAACACTTTAAAATGCGGTCTTTTGCAGATTTGAACAATGCAATGCATCATTTGATTTCTTCACTACTGCTTCCATGGATGTTGAATGTTGCAACATGTAGCCAGGCACTTACCTAAAAACTCCCTTACTGTAGGACACTGATACCATTTCCCCTTTTACTATTTCTACACCATTAGGGTGGCTGGGAGTTTCCACAGGATAATTCTGAAAAGGGAACTGCTGAACTAATGGGAGACTTCATTGAAGGCTTTTGCTACTTTTGCTACCTATAGCCACCATTTCCCAAACTTCTTACATGAGAAACCATAGAAAAGATCCAGTGCACTATGGGGCAGAGAAGCTCTGTATAAACCACCAGGGCCTGTAGTATATTCACACTCCAGGTGGAGCAGCAGCCACCAGTACATCCCAGTCCAACAACTACAGCTTCAACTCATGGCCTAGTGATCTCTTTGTACCACAAAATTACCAAAAGCAGGACTGCTTTAAAATACAGGTTTCATGCCTCTGCTGGACAGAAGCTCCACTGCATCTAGGTCAGGTTGTGGGTCTGTGCATGCCGACAATCTCTATGTATACCCAATGTAAGCACTCCATGAAAAATCCTGTTTTTCACAGAACCATTTCAAAGGGACTTTTATGTGAAATGGGAATGTGGGTTAAAATTTTCTGTGCAGTTTCCTCATTGGTAAACCACAGATCAAAGTAGTTGTGGATGACAAGAACAGCAATAAAAAGTGTTGTAGTACAAAACTACACACACTGTATGGTCCAGATAAAGAATACACTCTTTTGTATACAAAGAACACTAAAAAAAAAAACCCCACAATAATAATAGTGGTAGAATTCTAGGCAGATTGTGGTTTTTATTTTTATTTTCTATTAAAATCAAATTTTTCTACAATAAGAATATAGTGCTTTATAAATATGATAAAAACATAAAAACTTGAAACATATTTGGTTTTAAAAAACCCACAAAGTTGAAGACATCAAGGGTTGATGAGATTTTGTAATAGACAATTTTTGCATAATGGAACCAAAATAAAATTTTGATGGAAGTCCCGTCATTCGCTACAACTGAAGTTTTTTGCTTACAGTTGCAGTGTCTCTCCAGTGTAAGAGGTCTCATAGAAGTCCTAAAATATACATACTGAAGGTTTCCCTTATACTCTATATTCATAGGACCTGTCACAGTATAATCAATTTCTCCTCAGTATACTTTCACACGTTTTCAAATCAAGAACTGCAAGCGTGCCTTATTTTCTTACATTCATACAGACTCTGTCTGCTGTACTTATGTTTATTGGGGTATGAGGAATACTTTTCCACATTCCTTACATTCATAAGGCCTCTCTCCACTGTTTGACTTCTTAGAGGGTGTGGTATAGAAACCAAAGGCTTTCCCACATTCCTTACATTCCTAAGGGCTTTCACCACTGTGAGTTCTTATATGCTTCGTGAGATGTGCAGCCTGGATGAACGCTTTCCCACATTGCTTACACTCATGAGGCCTCTCTCCACTGTGAGTTCTAATATGTTTAGTAAGATGTGAGGCCTGGCTGAAGGCTTTCCCACAATCCTTACATTCATAAGGCTTCTCACCACTGTGAGTTCTAATATGTTTGGTGAGATGTGAGGCCTGGCTGAAAGTTTTCCCACATTCTTTACATTCATAAGGTCTCTCTCCACTGTGAGTTCTTATATGGTGAGTGAGAGATAGGGATCGAGTGAAGGCTTTCCCACATTGCTTACATTCATAAGGCCTCTCTCCACTATGAGTTCTTATATGTGCAGTGAGATATGAAGAACAAGTAAAGACTTTCCCACATTCCTTACATTCATAAGGCCTCTCTCCACTGTGAGTTCTTGTATGTTTAGTGAGCTGTGAGGCTTGACTGAAGGCTTTCCCACATTCCTTACATTCAAAAGGCCGCTCTCCACTGTGAGTTCTTATGTGTGTGGTGAGGGATGAATCACAACTAAATGCTTTCCCACATTCCTTACATTCATAAGGTCTCTCTCCACTGTGAGTTCTTATATGTACAGTGAGGTATGAGCACCGGCTAAATGCCTTCCCACATTCCTTACATTCATAAGGCCGTTCTCCACTGTGAGTTCTGATATGGCTCTTCAGCTGTGAGGACTGGCTAAAGGCTTTTCCACACTCCTTACATTCATATGGCCTCTCTCCACTGTGAGTTCTTTTATGTTCAGTGAGGTGTGAGGACCGGTTAAAGGCTTTCCCACATTCCTTACATTCATAAGGCCTCACTCCACTGTGAGTTTTTATATGTGCATTAAGGGATGAGTCAGAAGTAAAAGTTTTCCCACACTCTTTACATTCATATGGCCTCTCTCCTTTGTGAGTTCTTCTATGGTTAGTGAGGTGTGACGACTGGCTAAAGGCTTTCCCACATTCCTTACATTCATAAGGGCGCTCTCCACTGTGAGTTCTTATATGGATCCTCAAATTGGAGGAATGGCTAAAGGCTTTTCCACATTCCTTACAATCATAAGGCCTTTCTCCACTGTGAATTCTTATATGGTTAGTCAGCTTTGAGGACTGGCTAAATGCTTTACCACATTCCTTACATTCATAAGGCCGCTCTCCACTGTGAGTTCTTATATGGAGAATGAGCTTTGAGGAACTGCTAAAGGCTTTTCCACATTCCTTACATTCATAAGGCCTCACACCACTGTGAGTTTTTATATGTGCATTAAGGGATGAGTCTGAACCAAAAGTTTTCCCACATACCTTACATTCAAAAGGCCTCTCTCCTCTGTGAGTTCTTATATGGTTAATGAGGTGTGAGGACTGGATAAAGGCTTTTCCACATTCCTTACATTCATAAGGCCGCTCTCCACTATGAGTTCTCATATGAATCCTCAGGTTAGAGGAATTGCTGAAAGTCTTTCCACATTCGTTACATTTGTAAGGTCTCTCTCCACTGTGAGTTCTTACATGATTAGTCAGCTTTGAGGAACTGCCAAAGGCTTTTCCACATTCCTTACATTCATAAGGCCGCTCTCCACTGTGAGTTCTTATATGGACAATCAGCTTTGAGGAACTGCTAAAGGCCTTTCCACATTCTTTACATTCATAATGCTTCTCTCCACTGTGTGTTTTTATATGTGTAGTGAGAGATGAGTCATAACTAAAAGCTTTCCAACATACTTTACATTCATAAGGCCTCTCTCCTCTGTGAGTTCTTATATGGTTAGTGAGGTGTGAGGACTGGATAAAGGCTTTCCCACATTCTTTACATTCGTAAGGCCGCTCTCCACTGTGAGTTCTCATATGGATCCTCAGGTTGGAAGAATGGCTAAAGGCTTTCCCACATTCCTTACATTCATAAGGCCTCTCTCCACTGTGAGTTCTTATATGGTCAGTCAGCTTTGATGACTGGCTAAAGGTTTTCCCACATTCCTTACATTCATAAGGCCGTTCTCCACTGTGAGTTCTTATATGCAGAATCAGCTTTGAGGAACTGCTAAAGGTTTTTCCACATTCATTACATTCATAAGGCTTCTGTCCACTGTGAGTTTTTATATGTCTAGTGAGGGATGAGTCACAACTAAAAGTTTTACCACATACTTTACAATCATAAGGCCTCTCTTCTCTGTGAGTTCTTATATGGTTAGTGAGGTGTGACGACTGGCTAAAGGCTTTTCCACATTCCTTACATTCATAAGGCCGCTCTCCACTGTGAGTTCTTATATGGATCCTTAGGTTGGAGGAATGGCTAAAGGCTTTTCCACATTCCTTACATTTGTAAGGCCTCTCTCCACTGTGAGTTCTTAAATGGTCAGTCAGCTTAGAGGACTGGCTAAAGGTTTTCCCACATTCCTTACATTCATAAGGCCGCTCTCCACTATGAGTCCTTATATGAATCCTCAGGTTGGAGGAATGGCTAAAGGCTTTTCCACATTCCTTACATTTGTAAGGCCTCTCTCCACTGTGAGTTCTTACATGTCTACTTAAGTGTGAGGACCTGTTAAATGCTTTACCACATTCCTTACATTCATATCGCCGCCCTGCACAGTGAGTTTTTATATGATTAGTGAGACTTGAGAAATGACAAAATGATTTCCCACATTCCTTACAACTGTAAGGCTGCTCTGTACCATGAGTTTTTATATAGCTGATCAGCTGTGAGGACTGCCTAAAGGCTTCTGCACATTCTTTATATTCAGATGGCCTCTCTCCACTGTGAGTTCTTATATGTGTAATGAGCGATGAAGCACTACAGGTGATACCACATTCCTTACATTTATAAATTTTCTTTCCAGTAAGAGTTTCCACATGTGTGCTTAAGTGACAGAAACAACTGCAAACTCCTCTACACTCCTTATATTGACAGATATTGCATCCAGCGTGAGAAATGACATGATGTTTAAATGAAGAATAATTCAAGAAAGCTTTTCCACACTCATGGGATTCAGAAGGATTTTCTCTAACAGGATCTCTTTTGGTAAGATATTCAGTCTTGATGACAGGTTTTCCACACTGATTATTGTCTTTCCTCTTCCTTACTTTCCCTTCTTTACTTTCACAGAGGATCTCAACTGTATGCCTTCTGTCAAAAATAGGCAACATAATTTTAGAATTAAGTTTGTTATCATTTCATAATTACAGTATAAAGTAAACACGCATGTTTTCTGCCCTGAGTTATCGCATGCTGAATAGCTTGAATCATCTCATAGAAATCGTTTCCATTACTGTCACAGTGTTTTTAAATAAAGGAGCTTTCTAATAATTGTGTACTGTAAAGTACATTACAAATAATATCTCATTCATAGCTATGGAAATATAGTGTAAAAAATCACGTGATCATACAACTTTAGTTTTATACACACAAACATCTGATGTTTTAATATTCCCTCCTGAGGTACTGCTCACACTCTTGTGAATGATACTCACCTGACATGCCTTCCCTGATTGTTATGCTGCTCTTCAATGCCACAGAATTCACAGGTTTCTCCTAACCTGCTGTACCAGGAATTACTCTTCATGAATCGCATTATTAAATGTTCACTGGACATCATTTGTCCATTACCAACCTGTTGAGAAACTAACCAAAAAATTTTAAGTGGAGTTTCACAATATGAAACAGAACAGTAAAGAACTTTTATAGGAAAACAAGGCACCTCCTGTGAGCACAGGAACACTCTGAGGCATTTAGAAGTTCCAGGACTTTGGCAATGGTCAAAAGGGTAACCAATTTACTAAAAACTACTTGACAATTTAAAGTGACAGTGTCATAAATGGGGAGTAATTAGGAAAACATAGTAAGAAGTAAACAACACGTGTACAAAGGTAATGTTAAACGAGAAAGTAAGATCTGTTCCGTGAACATATTAGGTGTGTGAGCATTAATGGATACTCAACTGTGTGGAAATTGAGCCTCCTCAAACCAAAAGACTTTTTCAGGTTGATTTATTCAAATGTAATTCTCTCCATGCTGGGCTCATCCTTCAAAGGATTCTTGCCTTTCCAGCGCATCTTGACACCATGGCTCTGGAAAAGTCCTAACTTCACTCTCCTTAGATCTTTCCTTGGGAGAGCAAATGGGTGTGTCTGACATGGTGTTCATGGGTAAAGGCAGATCATGAGGAAAGATAGTGGAGTGCAACATTTCCCCAACACTGAGCCAATATTTTGGTCTCCAGAGTCTCTATAAGTGGACTGTTACGAGTCTATTTGCAGCAAAATACATCAAAGTTGTAATACATTAAAACTCTGAGGAAATAATCCACAAATCTCTCTGCATCCAAAGTGACCCCTGAAGATAACGTGCACTTACAACACTTAAAAACCCTCAAGGATTTTAGACAGAAAAGAAATATCACCTCAGTATAGTTATGCAGATTTTGCTTTCATGGGAAAGATTCTAGAGACTAAGCTCCATGAGGACAGTGAACATTTTTCATGTGTTCCAATTTATTCCAATTCTTCAACCCAAACCTTGAAACAAGACCAATGAATAAGATATAATCTTTCACAAACGGAAAAAAATAAGAAAACTGAAGTCCTTACCAACCAAGGCCAGGTTCCTGAAGGTTTCCATCATCACATCTCTGTAGAGTTTCCTCTGAGAAAAATCCAGCAAAGCCCACTCTTCCTGGGTAAAGTCCACAGTCACATCCTCAAACACCACTGAGTCCTAAAACAGCCCAAATATTCTGGATCAGTAAAGAATCATCTTCCGCAAAGTGTGTAAAGGGAAAATGAGGCTGTCACTGCAGGGGAATGAAAAATTCATAGGGGTCACACAAGATCCTGTGATCTACTCTACAGCTTGGCTATCGGCCTCTTCCCTTCGCTGTCTACATTTACATCTTGACCTGTGCACTGCTATCCTATTGTAATGATCAAAGAAAATTCATCTCATGCTTCCAGCAAGTAGAAAGAAAAATAACCATTTTGAAATACACCCAAAGCATCCTGTTCTCTGTGAAAAGGCATTCCCTCAAAGGAAACTATTTTCAAGATCTTTAACCGAGGTTTTTACAAGATCCTAAATGACAAGGGGGAAGCAAACCACCTCCAATCCCATCTAGGATATCTGTCTCAACTAAGGGAAGAGGAGAAGAGCTGCAAAGTACTTGTGAAGGTGCCAATTGAGGAGATCAGGCTCACTAAAATACTTAAATCCAATTACAGGACTATAGAATGCTTCCTCTCCCCCAACACATATATCACCACATCAAGAGGACTCCTGTATAAAAGATGATTAAAGCAGAACTTTTGGTTTAAGATCTTATTTAAGAAGTCTCTAGGAAAGCCCAAAGACAGGACGGGAAAGAAAAAAGAAGAGAGAAAAATTTAGCGTCTCACGCATACACCTACAACACAGCCTACTTCTAACAACATAAACATAAAACACCAATCTAAAAGCCAAGTTACCAATCTTTTACCCAGCGCACCATTATCTATCCTATTGTCCATCTTCCGAAAAATATTAAACGGCAAACTGTGATGGTTAAGGTTGTGTCAACTTGGCTGGGCCATGTTTCTCAGTGGTTTGGCAGTTATGATGTAGTTTGGCAGTTATGCAATGATTTAATCACCTCCACGAAGATATATGATATAATGTAATCATCTCCACAATGAGATCTGCTATGAGCAGCCGATCAGTTGAAAGAGTTTCCTTGGGGGTATGGCCTGCATTCAATACATACTGACACTGTGGCAAAGCTTGATGGCTTTCGCTCTGCTCTGATCCTGCATTCTGCTAATCATCATCTGAACTCTGCTTCTTGGGACTTGGGCCAGCATCCTGCCATCTTACCTGCGATCTTAAATTCCTTAGACTCTGCTGCCCGTGAGCCAGCAGCCTGCGGTCTGAATGTAGATCTTGGGTTCATCAGTCCCTGCAGCTACATGAGTCAGGAGAAGCCTCCAAACTGATGCCTGATCCATGGACTTTGGGCTTTTCCGTGAGAACCACTTCCTTGATATAAACCCCTCCACCCCATATTTATATACTTCACTGGTTTTGCTTCTCTAGAGAACCCAGCCTAAAACACAAACTAAAAGCCATAAAGCACAGCTTGAATACAGCAAGCATCAGAACCAGACTCAGATATGAAAAAGAATTTGGAATTATCAAATGGGCATTTAAGACATGATTCATATAAGTCCTTCACCAATGGAGAAAGAAGACTACACGCAAGAACAGATGGGTAATGTGAGTAGAGAGATGTAAAATCTACGATCAAAAGAAAATACTAGGAATCAAAAACAATGTCACAAAAATGAAAGTATTCAACAGAATCAGCAACAGATTGGATACAGCCTAGGAAAGAATCAGTGAACTCAAGATAGGTCAACAGAAACATCCAAAACAACACAAATAGAAGAATGGGAAAAAAAAGGGAGAGAACAGAATATCCAAAAACTCTGAAACAAAAAGTGTAATATATGAATGATGAGACTACTATAAGGAGAAGAAACAGAAAATAAAAAGTTTGAATAAGGGCTGAGAATTTTACAAAATTACCGACAACAAACCGCAGACTCAAGTTCAAATATCACCAACCAGGATAAATATATAAACCTACAACTAAAGATATTAAAACTGCAGATAAGCAAAGAGAAAATCATGAAAGAAATCAGAGAACAGACTCAATGTCAACAGGTTTGGTTTTTGGTTTATAGAGGAAAAATATTAAGTAGTACAGACTTGTCTTCAGAAGTCATGCTAGCAGGAAGAAGGTGGAATAAAATATTCACAAGGATTGAAAAGAAAGAAATATCAAATTAGAATTCTGTGTCCAGCAAAGTAACCCTCTAAAAGTGAAGAGAAAATACAGCTGTTTTCAGACAACAAAATCTGAGAGGATTTGTTGCCAGTTTACCTACCTTGCAAGAAAGGATAAAAGAAGTTCTTCACAGAAAAGAAAAAAAAATGGTATAGGTCAAAAGTATGGGTGTATAAAAACAAAGGAAAAGCACTAGAGAAAAAAGAAATGGTCAAATAAAATCTTTTTTTATATGAAATTCATACAACAGACAAAAGTTTCTTAAAAGTCTTAATAGTCAAAATAGGTATGGTTATTATAGTTACAAAGAACAGCAAAAAGGAATTGGGAACACTGATATATTTTCACGACCTGTAAAATGGTGTAGTGTAATTTGAAAGCTAGACTTGGATGAGTTATAAATGTATAATACAAACTCTATGACAATAACAAATAAATTTTTTTAAAATGAAAATTATTAAATATAATTGACATGCTAACTGTGGAGCATAGAATCAAGCAAATGGAACCCCATAAAATGCTATTTAAAACAAGTAGAGGCAGAACACACCGGCAGGGAAAAAAAAAATGAAAACGATGGACAACAAATAGAAAACAGTACCAAACAAGGAAGACAGTAATACAACTATATCAATCTAAATAAAACGTTGTTGTTGGTGGTGGTGGTGTTAGGTGATGTCAAGTGGATTCCAACTCACAGTGACCCTATGTACAACAGAAAGAAACACTGCCAGGTCCTGCAACATCTTCCCAATCGTTATGCTTGAGCCCACTGTTGTAGCCTCTGTGAAAATCCATCTCGTTGAGAGTCTTCGTCTTTTTTGCTGACCCTCTACCAAGCACGATGTGCTTCTCCAGGGACTGACACCTCTTGATAACAAGTCCAAAGTATGTGAGACTTGGTCTCACCATCCTTACTTCTAAGAAGCATTCTAGTTGTACTTCTTCTAAGACAGATTTGTTCGTTCTTTTGGCAGTCCTTCGTATATTCAGTACTCTTCGCCCACACAATTCAAAGGTGTCAATTCTTCCTTGGTCTTCCTTATTCATCATCAAGCTTTTGCATGCATATGAGGCAACTGAAAATACCACAGCCTGGGTCAGGCGCACTTTAGTCTTCAAGGTAACATCTTTGCTTTTCAACGCTTTAAAGAGGTCTTTTGCAGATTTGCCCAATGCAATGCATCCTTTCATTTCTTGACCCCTGCTTCCATGAGTGTTGATTGTAGATCCAAGTAAAATGAAATCCTTGACAACCTCAGTCTTTTCTCCGTTTATCATGATGTTGTATTGGTTCAGTTCAGGATTTTTGTTTTCTTTATGTTGAGGTGTAATCCATACTGAAAGCTGTGGTCTTTGATCTTCATTAGTAAGTGCCTCCAGTCCTCTTCAGTTTCAGCAAGCAAAATTGTGTCATCTGCATAATGCAAATTATTAATGAGATTTCCTCCAAACCTGATACCATATTCTGCATCATATACTCCAGCTTCTCGGATTATTTGCTCAGCATACAGATTAAGTATGCTGAAAGGATACAACCCTGATGAACATCTTTCCTGACTTTAAACTACACAGTATCCCATTGTTGTGTTTGAATAACTGTTTTGTGATCTATGTATAGGTTCCTCAGGAGCACAATTAAGTGTTCTGAAATTCCCAGTTTTCACGATGTTACCCATAATTCTTTATGATCAACACAGTTAACTGCCTTCGCATAGTCAATAAAACAGGGGGAAACATCTTTCTGGTATTGTCTGCTTTCAGCCAGGATCCATCTGACATCAGCAATGATATACCTCATTCCACATCGTCTTCTGAATCTGGCTTGAATTTCTGGCACTTCCCTATCGATGTACTGCTGCAGCCACTTTGGGATGATCTTTAACAAAATTTTACTTGCCTGTGATATAATGACATTAGTCAAAAATTTCTGCATTCAGTTGGATCATCTTTCTTTGGAATAGCCATAAATATGGACCTCTTCCAGTCTCTTGACCAGATAGCTGTCTTCAAATTTTTTAGCATAGACGAGTGAGCACTTCCAGCACTGCATCTGTTTGTTGAAATTTCTCAATTGGTAATCTGTCAATTCCTGGAGACTTGTTTTTAGCCAATGCCTTCAGTGCAGCTTGGACTTCTTCCTTCAGGACCATCAGTTTCTGATCATATGCTACCTCCTGAAATGTCTGAATGTCAACAAATTCTTTATTGCAACAGTGACTCTATATATTCCTTCCATTTTTTATAACACTTCTTGCGTCCAACATTTTCCCATAGAATCCTTCACTATTGCAACTAACAGCGTGAATTTTTTCAGTTTTTTCAGCTTGAAAAATGCTGAATATATTTTTCCCTTTTGGTTCTAACATGAGGTCTTTGCACTTCATTACTTTGTCATCTCAACCGCCCTTTGAAACCTTCTGTTCAGCTCTTCTACTTCCATTTGCTTTAGCTACTCGATGTCCAAGAGCAAGTTTCAGAGTTTCTTCTAACATCCATTTTGATCTTTGCTAATTGTTTTCATAAATAGACCTCCAGGTCCTTCTTCCTAGTCTTAAGTCTGGAAGCTCCACTGAAACCTGTCCAACATGGGTGACCCTTCTGGTATTTGAATACCAGTGGCAAAGCTTCCAGCATCACAGCAACACTCAAGCCCCCACAGTACACAAACTGACAGATGCATGGTGGAATAAAACATTAGAGAACAAAAAGTATTTGGTATACAAGAAACTCAGTTTATATATAGACACAAAATATTAAAAATAGAAAAGGGACACAAGTCAGCAAGGTGGTGACAAACAGCTCCATGCTCTTATCTCCCAGAAAACACACCCCCCAAAAAAACAAAACTTGCAGAAACAATTTTTTCAGAACTTTAGGAAATTTTAACTATGAGATT